AGGAGGAAACATTCCTTAAAAGCTAACGATGCCATTAACAGATCCAAAATCATCAGCTAGTGCCAAAGGAACCAGGGAGGGGGGAAGAAAACCTGTCGCACTGACCCACAAAAATGAGACAAAAACGAAAACTTTTAACTCCAAATCATTCGAATAATTGGAAAAACTTCCGTCAAAATCAAACAAAAACAAAAAAACTTCAATTCCTTAAACAATCTAAGCGTACTCTGCAGAAACCAAACATCGTTTAACTACATCGAAGATATAAATAAGACATCCAATCAAAAACATTGCAAAGAAAATGGTTTCAAAAGTTGTTTGAGCTCAGTTACCAGGGAAGTGAAGGGGGTAATCAGGGATCGAGGAAGTGTGGATCTCTGAGCAGAGATAGAATCGGAAGTAAGATACGTCAATTTGTTGACGAGACAAATGCCTGATCTGATTCGGCCACACAATGCCATCGCCGAGAAACCCTAATTTCAGATGATTCTGCGCTCTGTTGGGGAAACAAGAAACCAGACTAGTCGCTTTGTCTAGGACGAACTATGAAGGCAGAGAATAGGAAGCAAGCGAGGTCCGGAAGCACGGGATTGCCCTAGGCCCCTAACGGCGCATCGTCCTTCCGTCAAACTGAAGCTAAATTTAGACACGTGTAACTTCGCCCTTTTGATTTGATATACTCCTTTTCTCCTTAATATAAGACTTATTTACCTAATTTAATTAAATTAAGAAAGTTAGATAAGTTAGTTAATTATAAAAAAAGTGACACATTTTTCCTAAAATACCATAATCATCGTTCTTAATATCCCCTCTCCCTCTTCTACTTGATTATGGTTGAGGGAGTATCCATAGGGGTAATTTAGAGAAAATTGATAAATATGAGAAATAGGTTTTATATTTAGAACCAAAACCAACTCAAGAATTGGGTCTTATATTAAGGATTGGATGAGTAAATAGAAATCAGGCTAAAGTATACTTTTAACCCTTTAACTTTACACAAGATTTTATTTTGATTATTTAACTTTAAAAAGTAAACTTTTAGTCCTCTAATCTTAAAATTGTTTATAAAAAAAATGATGATATTGAATTCTTAAATGCTGATAAAAAATTACTAAATACTACTCCCTCCGTTCCTTATTATAAGAGACGAATAACCGAATTACGTTGATCAAAAAAACAGTTAAAATTAGTTAAGAACAATTAATATGTAAAAAGTATAATTTTTTTTTCCAAAATACCCTCATTAATAAGAAGAGAGAACAATGTTAATTTATTAAAAGAAAGAGAAGTGGAAAGGAGAGAGAGTGTGAGTTGGAGACAATAAATATGGGTAAAATAGGAAATCAACACAAAAAAGTAGAGACAACTTTTTAAGTGTCTCTTATATATAGGAACATGCTATAAGCACCAAATGTCTCTTATAATAAGGAACGGAGGGAGTAACATGTTAGTTTAATATTCAAAACAACTATGAGTATTTGAAAAAAAATTTATCATTTAAGACTAATAATTTTGGAGTTAAAAGACTAAAAATATAGTTTTTAAAGTTAAAGAACCAAACTGAAATCTCATATAAAGTTAAATGGCCAAATATATACTTTTTTTCCCTGAGAAATGCAATTTGATATGATTATATACTTATAAAAATTATGTTACTTAAAGAAAGCAAATCAGTCCCCTGTGTTTACAATTATGTTTCTTTTTGTTCATATTTTTTTACCACATTAGATGTAACCATGCTTGGTATTATATGATATTGAAATTATATCCAGAGTAGGACATGATAAAAATTTAAACACTATGGCTCCCCACTGTTAGAGTAATAAATAAAAGGTAGGACATAAATAATAAGGAAAAATTAATCTTTTATTTAAAGATTAATTTTTCCTGAAATTTGATCATTGCAACTCAGTCCCTATAATTTTATACATTTTATAATTTAGTCCAACACAAGGACTAAATTATAAAACTGTTAAAAGTATAGGAATCGAGTTGCAGCAAGTCAAATTTCAGGAATTGAGTTATATTGGGTCAAAATATAAAGATTAAATTGCAGATGAGTGAAAACTATAAGAACCAAAAGATTAATTTCCCAAAATAGTAAAAATGTGTTTGGGTTGTTTGGAAACTCAAAAAAATAAGAGTGTTTTTACGTAAACCAATATAAAACAAAATCACTTGTTTAAAACGGTAGTTTAATTTCTATTCAAATGGCTCAAAGTAATGTAACACAATCTTGATAATATTAAAAGGGTGTTTGGCAATACTCAAAAGTGCTTTTTAGAAGCACTTTTCTGCAAAACGAGGCAAATTTCTCTACGTATTTAGTTCGTAAACTGTAAAAACACTTTTGAAACTATAATTCGATTTTCATCCAAACATCCCCTAAAATTGAATTTGACTGTCAAGTGCTTATCAGGACCATGAAGAATGATTTTTTCCCTAGATTAATTGCAAGAGTTCTGTTTCTTACTGTTGAATTTCAGTTCTGTTTCTTCCGATCGATGCTTTAAGCTACTCAAGAACAATCCAAACATTATTGTATAGTTGAAGTTCATAAAAGAACAACTTGTTCAAGAAAGAGGAAACAAGAGAGGTGAAGCATAAGTAAGACATCATGTCATTAATGAATTATATTGCTGTGATACAAGCTCTGAAGAGTTTATTAAGTGAAGCCTACTTGCTAATAGGCATCACACAACTAAACCGTAAAACATATATAAGAGGAGGTCATACCAGGATATATATAACTGCTTCAGATTATATATAAGCCACACATAGACATGCATAGGTAAAACGTCCACCCCCCTAACATGACAAGATGTTGTTCTAAATGACTGTGAATCCTAAGACGACATGTTAGTAATACATAATAACTATAGACTCGTTAGATCGCTCCTCCGGCGGAGATAGCGGTGGTGGCGGAGGAGGATTGGGGCGGCAATGCATCTGAGTCACCGTGTAGGTCTGAATTCCGGAGATAATCAGCCTGTCTCCGATCCCCGGAGTATGAACTAGAGTCAATTTCACCTCCGTTATGTGTCGTGTCCCCGGCATATCTGAAACAACATTAAACAAAAGAACTACATAATTTTCAATATTAAAACTTCAAGTAATGGTTATTCTTATGAGTTTTTTTAGCCAAACTTGATTATTAGTATTCCTTTACAAGTTCAAGTATGAATCCATTCCTAGCTAGCGGTATCATTTCCTCTTCGTCTAATGGCGCAGAAAACCTTCAAGTTCAAAGTGAACACAAATAATGATTTTCAGAAGCAAAACCCACTTTCCTTCGCAGGAGCACCCACCACAAAAAGCCATTATTAGAGTACAGAAACTCACACACACTAAAACGCTAAATTACATTACATGAGTTCGACTAAGATTTTAAGCAGATGATGATAGAAAAAAGATGAAAATAAAATGGATCGAAAGAGAGTGAGAAAAGAAAATTTTGTTACTTTGGTCTTTCACTTTGTGTGTGCGTCTCGGTCTGGGTGGTGCTCTATTTGCAGTGATTTTGGGTGCTTGGAGAAGAAGCTTCCATGGAACTGATGACGACGGTGTTGAAAGTTTTGGGTAATACTTATCCAAAACAAGACTGCTTAATTAATACTACCGGTCATTAATATAAGACATTATTTGATTTTTATTTTAGTCTTAAATATAAGACCACAATCTACTTTGTGTCTTATATTTATATTTTTTTCCAATTTAGTTCTTCTAACAACGGTAGTTTTGGCCAATACACTTGATTAGCAAAAATATTTTAGGAAAGACAATATATATTTATTACAAATAATTAATTTAACTTCTTTCTTTAATCTCCTAAAATTAGTCAACTAGTTCTTATAATTAAGACAGGACGCAGTATTATTACTTGGAGTTGAGTTGTTAATATTATCCAATATTAAAGTGACTTTTTTGTCAAGAAAAGTAGTTGTTTCTGCTATGTTACATTTCTTCGATCATCGACAGTTTCTTCGTGGGAGAATCGGTTTGAAGGAAAATCTGAGGACGCTGATTTTCTTTGATTCTCCCACGGTCCTCACATTTTCCGGTTTGCTCCATTTGGGTATCTGCTTTCTGGTGGACTATTCTTGCTCATCCTCACTCTCCGTCGCCGACGACCTGGTACGGTGGTTCTAGCTAGTTCATTTATTCGATGACTCTCCTCCATTCTTGCTCCAGTGAAGAAATGAAGTGCCATCTTCACCAGCTTGAACCCTCCTCAATAAGCATTATATATCCTGACATGCATGTATGTATGTGTCCAACATTAGAGTTTACTTCGAATCTTTTGTTCAATCCTAACTTTTGAATTGTAATCTGTGTTTTCTCTTTATCAGTGTAATTTGTAGTATTTGGCAGTGAGCAGAGGTATATATAATCATTCCAAATTTTGTTGCTCTATTTCTGGGCTTAATTTTCTGGCTTTAAAAGGGCTGCTAAGTGATATATTGCTGAGTTTAAGTCTGTATTTAATTTCTTGTTTTTGAGTTTTGTGCTGGAAAAGCTTCACTGGTTCAGGGGTTTCTGGAGACACATCCATTGCGATTAAACCACTTGATCTTGACACAAGACCATAATTGATAATGGAACTTTCTTTTTTTAATTAAAACAAACAAACATTAACATTCTGATACTACAAACAAAACCAAACCCGCTATGTTCTATTTACTAGAAAAACTTATATACCGTTAAGGCACAAGGCTAAAACTAAGACAGTTATTTGAGTTTGACATTAGGTTTCCTAAAAGCTACTGTATTTGGGTTTAATTTGTCTTTGAAAACCCACCCGATACTCACTTTGCTTTCCTTCTTTGTCTTCAGCTCCTTTGCTAACTACCAATAAAGATTGAGCCTAGTGGAAAACACTAGTCTTTTATAACCTAACGAATCAATATTTGAATTCCTGTTGGAACAGGTGTTTGTATTTAGTACCTGACAATGCCTCGAATATAATTAAATCCAATAAAAAGATAACTATACTTTAGCGAAAAACAAAAAACTCCTTTGCTAATTTTGGCATTGACTTCTTTTTCTTTTTTTTCAGGAATAGGAAATACATAAAATTCTTAGCGTTGCTCGTGCGCTGATAATTCATCAAATCTTAAGTTCACATCGCATTGATATTGTCCTCATAATTTCAGCGTTGGTGCTTTAGTTTACGTTGGTGTTAGACTTTTCTCTGCATTTACCAAAAGACCCTTCCATTTCCTCGAGGGTTTTGCCCTGTGTTTCTGGGAGCATAGTGTAGAAAAAGATCCATCCAACGACCGCCACGGCCGCATACAGAAAGAAGGCCCCCCCAATAGTCATGGCCTTCGATAAGGATAAAAATGTCATTGAGATGACCCCACTCATGATTCTATTCACCACAACTCCCATAGCCGCACCCTGAGCGCGTAGCCTCAAAGGAAGGATCTCTGTGCTGTAAACCCACGTGATTGGACCCGCTCCAATCGAGAACGTCGCGACGGAGGTCAGCACCGCTGTGATGCTTAATCCAACGGCCCACATCACTTTGGTATCTGAACGGCCAATGATTGTAAGGCACGTGGCTAGAGTAAGAAGGGATATTATGATACCTCCGAAACTAGTCAGCAACAACGGGCGTCGCCCGACCCGATCCAAAAAGAAGGTGGCCACCAAGATGAAGATTGTCTTTGTGAATCCGACGGCTACAGTTGCGACAAGCTTTTGGTTATCGGATGCGATGCCGGCCTTTTGGAATATGGTGGGGCTGTACAAAACGACGGAGTCTAAACCAATGGCTTGTTGAAAGAAGTGGATGCCGAGGGCAGCGACGACGATGTGACGAACGGCCGGTGAAGGATGAATCAACATCTCCTTCCATACGCCCTTGCCCGTGCTTTGCTTGCTCGCTTGAACGACGTCGTTGTCGTCGTCGTCGTAAATCCCCGGGATCCCTGCCGCTGACTTGATGTCGGCCAGTCTTAGCCGAGCTTCTTCTTCGGAATCAGAAGTTTTGTCAAGGACTCGCCGCGCTTCGCCCAGCCGACCCCTCATCACGAGCCATCGGGGGGACTCCGGCATGACCAACACTCCGAATGAGATCAACAATGAAGGAACGACTCCGACTCCGAGCATGAGCCTCCAGCCAAGCCGAAGTGGTAGCTTCGAAAATGCTAAGTTCGAGACGTATCCAAGCAAAATCCCGGTGTTGATGAAAACCTGAAAGATATGATGCATAACACAACAGGCGTTAACTGCTTTATATTCTGTACTTGTTTTTGCTTCTGTGTTTGTGAGGATGAAGGAGATGATCGAGGACGATACCTCAGGAAAGGAAGTGAGCAAGCCACGACAGGATGCGGGGGACACTTCGGCCGTGTAGACGGGGGCGATCATGAGGGCGTAACCGACGCCGATGCCGGCGATGAAACGGCCGAACATGAGGAAGGTGTAGTTTGGGGAGAAGCCCATGAGAATAGCACCGGCGAAGAAGAAAGCTCCGGCAAGTACGATGGTATAACGCCGGCCGATCCAATCAGAGGTTCTTCCGGCGAGGAAGGAGCCTATGAGAGAGTAGAGGTTGATAATTCCGATCAAGATTTCCACTTGCACGTCCGATATGTGTAGGTCTCTCCTTATGTAGATAACTGCTCCACTCATGACTCCAGTATCTGTGATAATGGTCGAAATCATTTTGCAGAAAGAAAACAATAAGAATTTTTTGGTGCAGAGAAAGAAGAAACACAGAAATTAAACCGACCATAACCAAGCAAGATGGAAGTCATGGAGGCCAAAATAGAACAAGCCAGAGCATAAGTGATCCTTTTAGGTTTCTTGGGAGGGTCAAAATCTGCTACGGCATTGTTTATCAGGGCTGTTTGCTCAGATGCCATGTTCATCAGTTTGATGAAGGATTAATTCCTTGTGGAGCTTCCTTGAGGGTGAAGAAGATGGAAGGGGTACGGTTGACCTTTCGTTCCCATTCTTTTTGGATTAATACAATTTTTTAATTGTTTAAGTTCTCCTCATTTTAATTTTAATCCTTCAAATTTCATATTACTACCTTTAATTCTTAATATAAAAACTAGTTAATTAATTACTACATCTGTTTTTATTTTTTTTAGATTGGGATCATATATTTTAAATCAAATTAAAAATCAAACTAATTTTTATATTAAGTATTAGAGGTAGTATATGTTTTAGTTCATCAAATTTTTTTATTTAAAATATTAATTCTTATAATTTAATAAAAACTTGGACATATTTTGTTTCTTAAGGAACTACAGTCTATATCCAATATGAAGGCAAACTTGAAATTATATTAAACCCTTTTTTTTCAGACAAACCTTTTGTTTTCTCCCATGAAAAAAAACAAAAAACGAAGACTTTTCGACTATATGGATTTTTGCTTCCACGCATGTCTAATGTTCGTCACAAGTACTACTGAATTTTAGCGATTTAATTATCACTAAATTCTATAACTTATCCCGCAGGATCTTATGCTTGCTTCATCTTCACGACATTGATAATTATAATCTTTTCTTTTGGGCCAACGATTGGTAATTATAATCATATTACATATAATAAGTCTCCCACGTTTTTTGGGGGTTGAGTTTCAAGCAACTATATTATATCAATAAAAGAGATCTGATATTTTATGAAAGATGATCATTTTTTTATGTAATTGTTTTATGTGGGTTGAATAAAATTTTCTTTCAATAAAAAAATTAAACAAGTTTTCCACCTTTTTGAATTGAGTTATATGATATAAATAAAGATTTAAACAAAAGAGATTTGATTTTTTTTAGATAAAACAAGGGTATTCCCAAGTCATATTAGACTTGAAACTAATTTCTTTCGGGTTTGATGTGGTTAAGAAACAGCCCTCCCAACAAGTACGCTTCTCGGGATTCGAATATATATTCTTCTCTTTATATGGGCAAGGCCGTTACCACCTCAACCAATATATAATCGTTTGAATTTTATAGATAAGAGATATAAAATAATTAAAATCACAAAAAAAAAGAGAGAGCTGAGAGAGAAATGTTACACTTCTTTTTTGAATTAAAATTTACAGAATATTAGGATTTTTTATGTGTAAAAATTTATAATATCCTCATTGTCAGTAAAAATTTTAATGGGAGAAGCCTCCCCTTCCTTTTTTTTTTAATCATTTCAATGTTCTGGACTACCCATAAGCCCATGACTGATAATGCAACTCTGTTATACGATTTGGTCCATAAGTTTGACGTAGGCTTTCTAAATACTATTTGGGCTTGTCTTTGAAAACCCACCCAAACTCATATCTCAAGCCCTTTGCTAACATTAGCCGATAGTATATCAAATAAGAAAATATTTATCTAATGAATTTTTTGTAAATTTTGTTCTTCGTGTGCAGATAATTCAAATTACATTTTAAAAAATTATTGACCATCCCAAAGAATATTAAGACATCACATATGTAATACTCGTCACTTCAATCAAAATATACTCTCTCTTTTTTTGGGAAAACATACTCTCACCTTCTTTCTAAAATTTTCATTGATATATGCATTAATATTTTTTTCAGAAGGTATATATGCATTAATTTTTTTGCTTTATAAAAAATATGCATTAATTGATTAGGTACTCCTCCGTTACTAAATATAAGATCCATTTTGTAATGTAATATACTCATTCCGGTCCTAAATTATATTACAAAATAAATCTTATTTTTGAGACCAGAACGAGTATTATATTTGGGCCGAAATTAATTAGGCATTTAGGTGGACTTGCTTTCGCATGGTGGGTTCTGTGATGACAAGAGACCAAAGTTTACTTTAAAAAAGAAGATGCAAAAGTAATGGGCGTCAAAGGCACATGTCATTCGGTTTCCATTTATTCTATTTTCAATTATTATTATGGTAGTGTATAATAATTTCTCGTCTTTTCTGCCACCAAGTATACAATAATTTCTCTAATTGTATATATAATACATAAATAGCTTAATTATATAAATTAACAAATTAATTAAATTTGGCTAGAAAAGAATATGTCAAAAATATTTTATTTTCCAAAAACACTGAGAGGTTGAATAAGACAGAGAATGAGTAGGAGGAAGATGTGTATAAAAAAATTAATTAATAATATAATATGAATTAATGGGAGTAAAATAAAAAATCTTCAAAATTTTAGACATCCTTTTTAGATGTATTATATAAATAAGACCATATCTTAAGTGACAAAAATTTTAAGTGAAATGAGTCCTAAAAATTTATGTTTCTATGCTCAAAAACTGCTTATAGAGTATGCTTCTAGTTAATTTCTTATCAGTTGGACCAACTCTTGTTGGCTAAATAAGATCATATATATCTATTACGAAAAGTACCTCATTTGATTCAAAATATAAACATCAACTCTTTAAAACGGTTTGATTTGTCTAATAAGCATCACTCGATATTGGTTGGATGATCCAATGCTTCTTTTTTTTTTGGTAATTTCCACTCATTATTCTCTTTCATCTATTTTTTATTAATTCTTTCACACTCATTCTCTCCATGAATAAGAGCTTTTTAAAAAAATAAATTACGTTTTTATATATTTATTATATTTAACCAATTTTAATCGAGTCAGTTAGTTATTTAATGCTTATATTTTGAATCGGATTGAATAAATTTTATGTATAAGTATAAATAATTTATTGTTATAAAGAATAATTTTGATGAAATAGCAAACAAATGCAAAGGAAAGAGCAATATTGGCGGCTCTAAAACACGCAGATTTTAATAGTTTCGTACACGTGTCCTTCTTACAGGCCATAAGCTCTGATTCCACTAGTTGGCTTTCCACGTCGGGTATTTCAGCCTCTCCGCTAGAGTACTCCGCTAGAGTACGTACTTCCCAACCTTTTCCCCAGATATGACATGAAATAATAATGGCCAATCACAATTCTGCTGTTTTATATATTATATTGATAAATATAACTTTTATCTATACATAAGGGAAAATACCAAATAAAGAGCTCCTAATATGTAAAATTACGATTTGGGATGCTTAATTTGAAAAATAGCAAATAAAAGCCCGATCCTATATTGTAAATATGAAATATTGATGAAATGTCTGAAATATCTCTCAGCCAAGTTGTGATTTGATCTATTAAAGTTGTTATTCGCTAAAGTGAACTTATCATTTCCCATAGTCAATTTGTCATTTAGCATACTTTCAACCCAGTTGTGATTTGGTCTGCTAAAGTGATCATTCGCTAAAATGAATTTATCATTTTCCATAGTCAACTTGTCATTTGGTATACTTGGATTGTGATTTCAGATGTCACCAAGATTTCATATTTGCAATCTGAGACAAGGACTTTATTTGCTATTTTTCAAATTGAGAGTCTTAAATTGTAATTTCACATATTGTTGGGTTTTTATTTGCCATTTTCTATATATATAATCTCTTTTTAATTAAGTTTTCTCGCAAAAAAAAATAGTTAAATGATTAAATTTATTTTAAATTGATAGAAGTTACTTACTTATTTTATCCTTACTAAAAAATATGATTAGAAAAAGTCTCTTCTCTTTCATGCTTTTATAGTCTCTTATGTTTTGAACCATTTTTTTCCCCCGAAAACTCGTGTGTGTGTGTGTGTGAAAAAGATAAACACTGTCGATTATTTTATAAAATTGTAGAAGATAGGGGCGAGATGTTACATTTGGTATTTATTTCTCAAAAATTGACATTTTATATCCCGAACATAAATAACAAGTAATGAAAGCTACATACAACGACCATTCCGACTACCTACTTTACTCCCCATAATTTGAAGAAAATGTTTAACGTATCCCATGAATATATATATATATATATATAACTTTCATTCAGCTGTTTAAAAAAAAAACAGAGAGAGAGAAGGAAAAAAACTGCTCAGCCAAAATTCACGAGTTTCACAATCTTGTTTGGGAGAACTGTAATGAGGCCTCAATAATAGGAACTAAATATCCTAAAGTCTATCGACAAGTGAAGAGTAAATAATAACAAGTTTTAAAGGAGGAAATAATAACAGGACCCTCTTCATAGATTCTCAAAGAATTTGAGGGTTTGGTCCAATAACATGTATCCACGTGTCCATGCAGCTTGTAGGTATAAATATGAGAGAATTATAATAAGGCCTAAAAAGGAATAATTACAAAACGAATTTTAAAAATTTTCAAACTTGTTATTATAAATTATTTAGGTAATTATTTGATAATTATTTTTCTTTCTTAAAATTTATTATAATTCTTCCTGCAAAATATGGGAGTAATAAATGATAAGTGTTCGTTCGTGAAAGAGAATTGAAAAAACCAAGGGAAAATTAATGGGAAAATAACATTGAGGTCCCACACAAGGAAATATACTATAAAACGATCCCCTGAAATCTAATAATGAATCACAAGTCCCATAGGGACTCAATTGCAATAATAAGAATGTTAAAAAGACATTATTGCCCAGCAGTGTAGAAGGAAAGAGCGCTCATATTTTCTGCACGATCTGAAGTTGCTGCTAATGGGAGAGAAGAGCTGGAGAAAGAAGGAAATAGCCATTGATAAAGCATCTTTCTCATCACTATTAGTGAACTCCAAAGAGTTTCCATTTCAATCTCTCCAAACTTCCAGGTTTTGAAACTTTCTTCCCCTCCTTTTCTCTGCATTTTGTTTCACAGATTGTGTTTGGATATTGGAATTTAGAAATTTGTTTTTGCCTTTAGGTATTGCAAAGCTTTTGTTTTTTGTCTAATATGAACAAGATAATCAATAAAAAAAGGTTGTGCTTTTGCTTGGTGTGGGTTGGTGATTTAAGTTGGGGTTTCATTGTAGGTGGGTAGAATGATGATGGGTGCTTTGTTTTTTGTTATATTATGGGTGGTTTTGCTTTGTTTTAG